TCCGGCAAAACAATTCTTGATTCTGATTGGCCCAGGAAGACTCGAGAAAACATCACCAAAAGATGTTTTCATTGAGAAGATGATCACTCACGTGAACAGAAGTTTCAAAACCGTTATATGTCTCCGGTACTTCCAGCAACGCCGACTGCATGGCACAGCGTTAGAACATCGGCTTTCAAAAGAAAAGTATTGTTCTGCACTCAACATCACTCAAGAACGGTCCCGACCCACTTTTTTGTCGCAGACCTCACCATTTGAGAACCACTGGTCCTAGAGTCACCATTGAGTTTTTGTACCAAAGCCTCTCAGAGGGGCTGGGGAGGGCTCCTCTATTTTAATTAAAGTAACAAGACAGAGAATCAGCACTTTGGAAACAGGGCTGAAACAGAGGGGATTTATGGTAAATCTCAATGATCGTTTGGTGGTTTTCAGCCATCAGAGACATGCTCTGGATATATCTGAGACCTGTAATACATTGATGAAACACAGTATGATAGGGACCTTTAAACATGAAAGGACGTCTTACCTTCAGGCGTGGTTCCTCGTCCTCCAGAGGTCGCCATGTGCCTGACGGGTATCTGGCGCGACGGAGATCCGTACTGGCGTCCCCGGCTGCAGTGCTTCAGGAGCGCCCCCCTGTTGGTCTCCCTTCACCGACACCTCCTTCCTGGGACCGCCGGGCGGAGGTTGGTAGGAAACACGGACTGCAGAACAATTCCCAGGAGCCGGCTCCCAGGAAACACTTCATGAGGGAAGCGGTCCCTCAAACACCCTCAGGTCCCGAAGGTGAACCTTGGCTGAAGGAGAAGGAAGCAAGGTCAGAAAATGAAGCAGAAAGAAATCGGTTTTGGAAAGTCTGGTTTTCTTGTGTTTATTTCTGATAATTGACCATGTTGAGCGCTTGCTTTCTTTAGAGAAATAAGACTAAGATGTCTTTATTCTTTTTTTTGTTCAGCAGCATAAAATAAAACGAGGCATTGCACCAGTAAACATTAAAGAGTAAGAAATAAACAATCTCAGGTCCCGAGGGTGAACCTTTGGATAGAAGAACGCAAACAAGGTCAGAAAATGACGAGGACCGGTTTGAAAAGTTTAATTTCTTGTGTTTATTTTGGCCTGTTGACGTGATAACGTGCTTAATGAGAGAATCAAAAACGTAACGATTCAGAGAAACTTGCTTACAATTCCTCACATTGTAAGTGACCAACAACGCTTTCTTCGGAGATTGGGGATGTGTTTTGGACAAGAGCGTTACCTTAAATGTACATACTAAATTTCTGCTTTATAAATAAAATAGTGTAATAAGTCATGACTCTTTGCAGAATTCTTGGTCACAATTTTCGAAACCATGACATTTACCACTAAGAAGAACTGATAGGAAAGATACTGACGTAATGGATCACTAATGCCTTACCAACGAGCTGCGAACTCCCAGATGCTCCCTGGACTTAAACCTACGTACTGGTAAGAGTACAACTACCGTACATTCGTATGCCCTTGTAAATTCTCATCACATTGTCTTGAAATCAAGAAATGCACCATCAAGTAGATAACCGAAAACTGAGAGGAAAGGATAATAACCGTAGTGGTCTTCTTTAGTATTTGACTGCTGCCAACGTCTGAAATGCCTTCGACCGAGTCTCTGAGTTAGTCAGATGAGCTCCCAGTTTTGTGCACGAGAAAACTGAAGAGCTCCCAGGACTGATTTAGTGTAAGTAGGCAAGTGCAAACAAATTCCCCCTTTGAAAAGAATTGTTAAAATAAATGGTGACTCATTGCCCTGGTGTTAACGTCTAGTGGCTAAGTGTTTACTGAGAGAGTTTTTATTGTTGATTGGCTTTGGGTATTTTCTACTTAGGTAAGAAAATATCAAGGATTAAAGTGAAATGCACTTAAATTTCCGGCCCCAATAGTTGTCAGAAAACGTTGAAGTGGATTCCTAGCAGCTGCTGTAACCTCTGTGCCACTGCAGGACTCGTGGAAAAGACTTGCATCGATTCCATAGTTTCAGATACAGTCATGGCATTGTAAACATTGTAATAAGGGACAATACGTAATCCCTATACGGGGAGAAAGGAAAACCAGGAAAACCATGAGCCATCTGAGAGCCAGCTGGAGTGTGCAGCTGGATGAGATCCATTGCCTCTTTTTATAAACATCAACCCAAAAAAAAAAAAATCCCCTCAGACGACAACAGCTGTTCTCCCTTTCGAGGAGAATCTCATACTCGGGAAAATGCTGTGCCATGGAACGGGAATACTATAATGTTATTTCCAGTGTTTTGGCTCAAGGGTTCGACTGATGTATGCTTCCTCCCGGACACTCTGAAGCTAACAAAGTCCTCCAGGAATATAATCTCCTGTCAAGAGTCAAGAAATATCACCAAGAGTGGAACGAGAAAACTCTACGCTCAGAGAGGAAAAGTACTCAAGATCTTGACTTGAAGTGCAAGTAAAGTACTGCAGATCTTGTTCTTGAGTAAAAGTAGAAGTACCAGTCCTTGAGTAAAAGTAGAAGTACTAAGATCTTGACTTGAGTGAAAGAGAAGACTCAGACCTGTACTTGAGTAAAAGTGGAAGTAGTCAGATCTCGTCTTGAGTAAAATAGAAAGTACTCCAAGATCTTGTACTTGAGTAAAAGTGAGAAGTACTCAGATGCTTGTACTTGATAAAAGTATAAGATACTGCAGATCTTGTTTCTTGAGTAAAAGTAGAAGTACTCAGGATCCTGTCGAGTAACAAGTAGAAGTACTTCAGAGCTTGATCTGAACTAAAAGTAACAAGTACTCAGATCTCTTGTTGCTTGAGTAAAAGTAGAAGTACTAGATCTTGTACTTTAGTGAAAAGAAGTACTGCAGATGTATGTACTTGAGAAAAGAGAAGTACCGAGGTAATACTCTGATTACAGTAAAAGTCCTGCATTCAAAATGTTCCTCAAGTGAAAGTAGAAAAGTATTCTCATCAAAATCTAGTGAAAGTAGCGACAGTAAAAGTAGTCATTGTGCAGATTGGTCCATTTCAGAATAATATATATGATATGTTTTATAATGATTGATCATGAAAGTGTTCTCAAAGCTGGTAAAGGTGCAGCTAGTTTGAATGACTTTGTATACTGCAGGGTAGCTTGTGGATTTACTCAAGGTGGAACTAAAGTCTGATTTAACACTTGATTATATTTCACATCATTCATCCACATCTGAGAAGAAACTAAAGGTATTAAATACATGTAGTGGAGTGAAAGTACACCATGTACCTCTGAACTGTAGAGGAGTAGAAGTCATTACTGGAGAGTCAGAACAATGACAGACTCGATCAATAGATGCCGATAAGGATTGGGAGAGAGTGTGCGCTCACTGATCGAAGGATTTAGAAAATAGTCGGAGAGAAAATGGGAGAGCGATGGACGGATCGAGATGTCAATAGTTAACTCAAACCACAGAGAATAAACGAGACAGGAGGAGAAATGAAAAGGTGGATGATGGGTAGAAGAAGAAATGGATGAAGAAAGACAAAGAGATGGAACAAAGATGTGAAGTGAAACGAGAGAAATGGATGAAGGGCAGGAGATGGGAAATAAAGAAAGAGGTGTTGAGAGAAGGGAAGAAGGACGTTGTTATGTTTCCATTTTAAACCGTCCGTCATGTCATCCTGAAACAAACAACTGTCTCTCAGACGGATGAAGAGCCTCGCTGTGTTGGTCTGTTATCGTCCGTCACCTCTTCACCCCTCAGAGTGAAAACTCACACGGTTCCTCCCGTCTGACGAGGGTCCGGACTCCGTCAGTATGCAGCGTGTACCGGAGACTTCAAATCAGTTATATCTTCAAGTATAGACTAGATAAGTATGTGTGTGTGTGTGTGTGTGTGTGTGTGTGTGTGTGTGTGTGTGTGTGTGTGTGTGTTCTGTGTGTCTGTCTGTCTGTCTGTCTGTGTGTCTTGT